TGCGTTGCATTCGATTATGGTAAAGTAGGTAAAGTAGTGGAAAGTTATGGAAATATTTTACAGAAAAAAATTAACTAAGTATAGCGTTGTTTGTAGTATATGCAACAAATGAAAAGCACCGACTTTTTTAAGTTAAAAAAATATAGACATTTCAAAAATTACTACACTTTTATAGAGGAAACTTCGTTCTTATAGTGGAGGTCAACCCCCAAGCAACCTTCTCTTTAAGTTTGTCGTGGTACTTATTGGACAATATGTATATTTTTTCCAGTATGTTTACAACAAAATCCCATATATAGTACTTTTAACACTAGAATGACCAAATCCTTTCACCTATCTAGGCAGCCCGTTGTGCCAAAATTGGCACGCCTGCTCGCATTCAGGATTTGATTCTTTAGGGTCAGAACCTGAATTTTCAGAATCATCTTGCGCAGTATCTATTGCTCAAAATATATAAAATTTGGATTGGATTGGAAGTCGTCATTTCACCGCTCATGAAGTAACACAATATTCTCACTGTTCTATTCTAAAAGCGTGAGGAATATAAAAAAAAAAAATTATTTATTATCTATAAATACAAAATATTGCTTATGATTTGTTCGCTACTTCGCTGATGATCACATCACGTGGTACCTGCAACAAACCACAACTTCACATATTATGTACTATACTGTGTGTCAAAATAGGCACTGTGGGAGTTCAAGATAAACGTGTGTTAAATGTCAAAGAAATTGTTAAAGGACGCAAGCTTTTAAAAAGTATGAATCTTTTATGACTGCAAAAACTGAACGCATAATGAAAAGTCACGAAATTTTTAAAACCCACTTGCAAAAATTTTACATTTATTGTACATTAAAATTTAAAATGCCTCAAATTTGGCACACTAGGCATTCTAGTGTTAAGTAATGTAAAAAATTGTTTTTTAAATGAAGTAAACATTTATTTAGGAGGATGGTTCCGTGCGCAGAAGTGGAAAACTTTTGATTGCCATTCACCTGGGAGTGGCCAGAAGCGATTCTTGTGCGTACGGTTCAAATCGCAGCTCACAACGTCCGGATATTTATATCCACGTATCCTCTGGGTAGCAACCAAACACCCGTTTGGGAGCGAGCTAAAGTGAGAAGGCGTAAAACTTCGCGTGCGCTGGGTTTGGGTCCCGCCACGTTAAAACCCCGCCCAATGAAAAATTCCAACAAGCCTCGGATGAGACCCCCTTTTTCTGATGACGACCACGGCAAACGTATAAAGGACTATGATTTAAGGGTATGCACCTGGAATATCCGGACCCTTAATGGGGAAGGTGCCTCTGCCCGGCTGGTTGATGTCCTCGGGAAGACAAAGGCTGACATCACCGCCATCCAAGAAATGCGATGGACGGGGCAAGGTAAAGTAAGCGTGAAGCCTTGCGACGTCTACTACAGTTGCCACGTAAAGGAGCGCAAGTTCGGTGTTGGATTCGTGGTAGGAGAGAGACTCCGTCGCCGAGTACTGGCGTTCACCCCGGTGGACGAACGTCTAGCCACAATCCGCATCAAAGCTAGATTCTTCAACATCTCGCTCATCTGCGCCCATGCCCCGACGGAAGAGAAGGATGAGGCGTCCAAGGATCTCTTCTATGAGCGCTTGGAACGTACATATGAGCGCTGCCCCCGACACGATGTCAAAATCGTGCTTGGCGATTTTAATGCCAAGGTGGGCAAGGAAGGGATCTTTGGCGCCACTGTCGGAAAATTCAGCCTCCACGACGAAACGTCCGATAACGGACTGAGGCTGATCGACTTCGCCGGGGCCCGAAATATGGTAATATGCAGTACTAGGTTCCAGCATAAGAACATCCACCAAGCTACATGGCTGTCTCCAGATCGAAAAACGAGAAACCAAATCGATCATGTTGTGATAGACGGAAGGCATGCTTCAAGCGTTTTGGACGTACGTACACTCCGAGGGCCAAACATCGACTCGGACCACTATCTTGTTGTAGCCAAGATACGCACCCGCCTCTGTGCAGCAAAAAATGTGCGCCCAACAATGCAAGGAAAGCTTAACGTCGAAAAGCTGCAATCACAACAGACGGCCAATTTATTCGCCACTCGACTCACACACCTGCTCTCTGAGAGCACTCTTCAACAATCCGACGTACGCGAGCAGTGGAACCACATTTCCCGATCATTAAGTACCGCCGCCGAAGAAGTAGTTGGATTTCAGCTAGCCCGAAAGAACAACTGGTACGATGAGGAATGTCAAGAAGCCGCAGAGAAAAAAGATGCCGCCTACAGGGCCACGCTGCGATCGGGCGCAACGCGAGCCATGTGGGACCGTTATAGGGAACTGAAGAAGGAAGCGAGACGTATTTGCCGCAATAAGAAGAGAGAGGCCGAAATACGTGAGTGCGAAGAGCTTGAGATGCTGGCCGACAGGAAGAACGCCCGAAAATTCTACCAGAGGGTTAGGCGACTTACGGAAGGTTTCAAGACCGGGGCGAACTCCTGTAAGAACAACAATGGCGACCTAGTGACCGATGTCCAGAATATACTTAAATTGTGGAGGGAACACTTTTATAACCTACTGAATGGTAGCAGCGCTGAAAGTAGTGAGGAAGACGAACCCGAGTCCCCAGTCGATGATGATGGAGTAGCTGTCCCACCGCCTGACTATGACGAGGTACGAATAGCGATTACGCGGCTGAAAAACAACAAAGCTGCGGGAGCTGACGGCCTGCCAGCCGAGCTATTCAAGTACGGCGGCGAGGAGCTGATGAGGTGCATGCATCAGCTCGTATGCAGAATATGGTCAGATGAACGCATGCCCGACGACTGGAATTTAAGTGTGCTCTGCCCAATCCACAAGAAAGGCGACCCCGCCATACGTGCCAACTACCGCGGAATTAGCCTTCTAAGCATAGGTTACAAGGTCTTATCGAGCGTATTGTGCGGAAGACTGAAGCCCACCGTCAACGAGCTGATTGGACCTTATCAGTGTGGCTTTAGGCCTGGAAAATCCACCATAGATCAGGTATTCACAATACGCCAAATCTTGGAAAAGACCCGCGAGAATAGGATCGACACACACCATCTATTTGTCGATTTCAAAGCCGCTTTCGACAGCACGAAGAGAAGTTGCCTTTATGCCGCGATGTCTGAATTTGGTATCCCCGCGAAACTAATACGGCTGTGTAAAATGACGTTGAGCAATACCACCAGCTCCGTCAGAATAGGGAAGGACCTCTCCGAGCCGTTTGATACCAAACGAGGTTTCAGACAAGGGGACCCCCTTTCGTGTGATTTCTTTAATCTTATGTTGGAGAAGATAATAAGAGCCGCAGAACTGAACCGCTCAGGCACAATACTTTATAAGAGCGTACAATTGCTGGCGTATGCCGACGACATCGATATTATCGGTAAAAACAAGGGCTACGTCTGTTCTGCCTTCTCGGGATTGGATAGAGAAGCAAAGCGAATGGGTCTGGTGGTGAACGAGGACAAAACGAAGTATCTCCTGTCAGCACACAAACAGTCAGAGCATACGCGTCTTGGCACCCACGTCACTGTTGACAGTTACAAGTTTGAAAAAGTAGACGACTTCGTTTATTTGGGAACCAGCATTAACACCAATAATAATGTCAGCCTTGAAATCCAACGGAGAATCACTCTTGCCAACAAGTGCTACTTTGGGCTGAGTAGGCAATTGAGAAGTAAAGTCCTCTCTCGTCGTACAAAGATCACACTCTATAAGTCACTCATCATGCCTGTGCTGGTGTATGGCGCGGAAGCATGGACAATGAAAGCATCTGATGAGGCGGCTCTTGGAGTTTTCGAGAGAAAGATTCTGCGAAAGATTTACGGACCTTTACGCGTTGGTGATGGCGAATATCGCAGACGATTTAACGATGAGCTGTATGAGCTTTACAACGATATAGACATAGTGCAGCGAATTAAAATTCAGCGGCTCCGCTGGCTTGGCCATGTCGTTCGGATGGACAGAAACGCTCCTGCTCTGAAAATATTCAACGCGGGCCGCGATGCTGGGAACAGAGGAAGAGGAAGGCCTCCTCTGCGTTGGAAAGACCAGGTGGAGAAGGACTTGGCTTCACTTGGCATTTTCAATTGGCGTCAGTTAGCACAGAAGAGAAATGACTGGCGTGCTGTTTTGGACTCGGCCAAAATCGCTTAGGCGGTTACAGCGCCAAATAAGAAGAAGAAGAAGAAACATTTATTTAACAAGTATCCCGCAATGTCGATGATTTAGCTTATAGAGATATAAAATATTTATAAAAGAATTGTTAAAAATCTGGGGTTTTCGCAAATTTCATTTTAATACTTTGATACGAAAAATAGTATTAAATTTAGTACGCGTATTTATTTATTTTTTCCATCGTTTGAAATTTTGCATTGTTACAATGCAGCAGACCACAATGTTCGAAAAAATCGTTGCACCAAAATCGCATAAATGATCGGTTGGCTTCAATCCGTGGAATAACGAAGCATACACATTTATCAATCTTGAATTTTGGATCGGAACCTCATATTTAGCAGAAAAACTACTAATAATTGACTAAAAAACCCGGGGATGAAAATCTTCATAAGTTTTGGCGCTACAATTTTTAAGTGACTTCGGATTTGTATTACTGGAAATATTCCTCTGTCTTACTGAATTAAAAAATTATTGAGTTTCAGTGGTCACTAGCATTTCAAGTTCTTCGCACTGACATTTTTAGTCGGACTTTTTTTTATCACCATTAAGGGTGCCTTTGAATTTCGCGCGATTCTCTGCAGCAGTGGTTGTTACAATAAAAAATAGATTTTCAGTATTTAAACTCTTCAACAAAGGTACTTTTAGATATCATCCCTTAGGTGGATTCAATAATCGAAGAAGTAGTACTTAAATGCATCATCCGGAACAAAATTATTCAGATGTCTAATACTCAGAGTGAATAATTATTATTGAATATTAAGTTGTCCTAGGGACCCCCCTTCCCTTCCCTTTGTTTCATGTATACTGACCTATAACGGTGACTTCGCCACTACGACGCGCACTATGCCCCTGCTTGTTGCGTGCCCAGCATGTGTATACGCCCGAGTCGGTATTCTTCTGCACCGGATTGATGGTCAATGAGCCATCCGGTTGAACACGTTGTCGGATATCATCAGGCAATTCGCGACCGCTTCGCTCCCAATGTATTTCCTCTATGGGATAGCCAGCAACAGGGCACTTCAAGTTTAGGGTTTCACCAGACACGGCAGTGACTTTCGGTATTAAGCGTATGTAGGGAAGGCCTGAAATTAGAAAAAAATAGAAATAGATGAGGATAATAATTAATTTAGTGAAAATTACTCCATTGGGAATTTATGTAAATATTTATGTATGCAAAAAAATTGAAAATAAATTATTTAATTTAATTTTTTTTAATTCTTTTCGGACTTCTTGGGAATTTCTTGGACCTTTTCGAAATTTTTTATGTAATTTCAGGATTGTTTCTGTTTTTAGATCTTTTGTGGTTTTCCCAGACTTTTTGAGATGTTTTCGAGTTCTTCGAGCTCACTTTTCGGGATTGTGCGCGTCTGAATTTTCGTTGCTTTTGGAAGTTCTTAATGAATTTAAAATTTGAAAACATTCGTTTTCAGGAATTTCGGTGATTTCAAGTCCTAAAGTATTTTCAAATTTTTACTTCATTATTTTAGTTTTTTATGAATGCCTAAAAAACTTAAGGTTCATTTAGTTATTTTTTACCAAAAATACCCGATACAGGTCGTACGATAAAGGCGGATTCTTTAATATCTCGACTCCAGCGCCATCTGTTGGCAGAATTTTTTGCAAAAGTATATAGTTGGGGGTAAACATATAAAAATATAAAGCAGTAAGAAATATTTTCTGTTTATCATAAATTAAAGGAGACATAAACTACATATTTTTATTGTTTAATTTAAGGCCTCCTTATGAACAATACTTTAATTTTTGTTGCGGTGTAGAAGCATAAATACTATGCGGACATTCCACTCGTGGGCATTCGAATACTAAAGATTTTTAAATTAAAATGGAAGGTCTGTAGGAATAAATACACATCCTTTCCGTTGCCGCATCCAGTAATAATTCTTGCTGCAATTATATTGGTCATCATTTTCCTTACTAAAAATCTTTTTTCATTATTAAGGTTCGGTGGATCAAGGTACCTAAAGAATAATTAAATGCGCTTTAATTTTTAAGTTGATATTCTCTGAACGTAGACGGCATGCATGGTGGGCGGTGCTACGACTTCTTGTAAGGTTATTCCGTTCAGCTGTCTGTTTGTAATGGGTCCAAGGTTATGGTTCTCTGAACGTACTCCATCTATTGGAGGTGCCACGCCCCTGGCAAACACTCACTCTCTTTCAGTTTACTATAAACGCCACGCCCTATTGTACAAACCCATTTGTATACATTTACCATGAATCTTCTCACCAAATTTCAAAGTCATGTGAGCTACGGTTCGGAAGATGTAGCAAATGTGAGATTTAATGGCTATGGAATGTGTCGTGGCCCGTTATATAAACTCACTAATGTTTACATCGCTATAAGCGCCTACCTTAGTTATGTCTTCGCACTCAATTTCGAAGTCATATGACTTATCGTTCCTAAGTTATAGCTGATTAAAATTTGACGCCTGTAAGATGTGACGTATAATTTCGAAGTTATGGCTGATTAAAAATTTCACACCTATAGGATTGGCCACGCCCCTTTTTCACAAAAGATTTTTAATTTTTCTTAATTTTTGCCTTGTTTAAGTTTGTATATTTTTTTCATAAAAATGAAAATATCTTGGGTAAATGACCTGATTTTGAAAAACGATGACCCGTTATCTACGACCCAATCTTAGGCTCACGTATTTCGGCGTTTTTTTTTCGAGTAATTTCAAAACTTTGGATTTTCCTTACAGTATTATTTCAAACCGGTAGTTTTAAAGAGACGCGTTGAGGCTGCCTGGTTATTGGATTCATATGCTTAGGAAAATTTATAAGTGAACCTTCATTAAGAATAATAATGTGTGGTTCTCTATGGTAGAATAAGTTCGGTGGTTCATTTGGTTATTTCATCTAATCAACTAATGCTTTTGTGTAATATGAAGAGCGCCTTAGTGCTGAACATCACCTAAAGTATGCTGTTCGGTTCACTATTTTCTTACATCTTTTATTGGAAATTAGATAATTGAGACTACTAAATAGATATGTATTGTAGTAAAAACTTCAACTCATTTTAATAAGCTGAATGCTTAGATATACAATTAAGTATTTAAATTCACACAAAATGCTACAAAAAAGTATGCATATTTGGTCTCATAGTACTTGTGCAAAATCAGAAATTTGATAGAAAAGAGGACACAAAACCGTATACATATGTACGTATAATTCAAATGAGTATGACGAGTAATGCTTGCTCCAAAACCAACAAGCGACTAACAGAAATTACATGTTCCTATTCGCATTTCCAGGAGCTGTGAATGCACGCGCGTGGGCAGATGTCCGCCAGCATGGTGTACTATGCTCAAAAGCTCAGAGCACATTCGGAATGTAGAATTTCAAAATAGAACAGAAGGAGTATTTCGTTTTATCTATGTGGGTCAGTAAAACGTCAGCAAGTTCTGCTGTTGCAGCTGTCATGTTCGTCATGCTGCCGTTCTCACATTCCTCTTTTTGAGTTTTGTCACAAATGATGCTTTTTCCTGAGTAGTTTTGTTTATCGCTATTTGACTTATGTTTTTTTTTCTAGAAAACAAGAATAAACCATAAAAATGTTCGGTATGTAAAAAAGTTCAGTCAAGCGCAGCAGTTGCATTTACGAAAAGTGCACTTATTTCCAGTTTACAATTTTTTAATATTTATGGCAAATTTATTGCATATGAAAGTTTTATATGTATTCGGAAAGTTTACGTAAAAAAAAGCAAGCATTCATGTAGGACGAAAAATAAGCTGTTGAGTGCCAACATTTTTATCAACGATGGAAAAGCAAATTTTTTTTTTCCAAAAATTTCACTTGTGGTGCAAATATATATTAAATTATTACAGAATAAATATGAATATAATATGTACAAATGTACTTATGTAGGTAAACAAAAAATTTTAAATTTCGTAATATGATTCCTCCAATTATAGATTTACATATATTTGTATATGTGTAAACCGAATTCAAAAATTCTAAATGTGACTTGGATAAGAGTATTAAAGCCGCTCAAATCTGCAGCGATCCTAAAAATAGGCACAACTCTATAGACACCGATAAGCGGTTATTGAAATTATTAACAAAAAAATTGCCAAAAATCAACGGTTTTTTGTAGCCTCTTCAAACTTCCACTTTATTATACCACAATTGAGTGGGCAATAAAACTGCATACCTTAGCATTCAGAATAAAAAAGTTTTAATAAAACTTTCTTGATTTTTTTTTAGTTTTAGTACAAAGTTTGAAACTTGGATTTATATAGTTTTGTTATATGGAGTATCAAATATATTTTTATAAAAAATGTATTCAAATTAATTTGAGGAGAACGAAAGAGTCAAAACTTATTAATATATCGCACACCGTCTTCAAAAGAGTCACAACTCAAAATTTGGAATTTTTGAAATTATGCCCTAAAAATGTTCACATAGCTTTTATTTACCTTTCAGCAAAAACAGGAGCAAATTTTTGTTATAATTTGTTAAATAACCCAAGGTAAAGTCGCTCTTGCCCATATGATTAGCATGTGCTACGAAATAGTTCTTCCGCATTTACTGACGAACGTATTATTTTGAGTTGTGACTTTTTTGAAGACGGCGTGCGATATGTACGTGACCTCGATCTTCATTCGTCTCAAGGTTAGCTTTATATCGCAAAAACTTATATCTGGCATGGCAAATGTAGATTATAACAATCCGATCTTTGGAATTTTTACTGTAAACTCTCTTTTTATACTAAGTGAAAATAGAGGCGAAATGTCGATTTTAGCTGCCTAATTGAAGGAAAATTTCATATCTGAAAAATCAATTGTATAACAGCGATATATTGTGGTGATCCGATTTGACGGTTCCGATAAATGATTGGTATATTGTAAAAGTTCACCCGCTTACCAAATTTCAGTCGGATGTCTGGAAAGCTGAGGGATCCCAAACAGACACCCTCTTGCCGCATAGCCCTCGAATAGGCACGTCAGAAGGCATCTATACGAACTAACAGATGAAGTCCAGAGGTTCATAAAATAACCTCTAAACCCGGCAGAGTACCGACAGGTTATAAACGGAATTCACAGAGGAACGGTCTCGACCTACTCCAGCTTCCAACCTGTGAATGCCGTTTTGGGAATACAGCCACCAGACGTAGACGAGACTGAGCTTCATCTTCTTTGGGAAACTCGCACACCATAGCCTAACTTCGCTCCGGCTACTGCAGTAGGCTAAACTCCTACCTTAAGGGGATAAATGCAGATGTGCCCGATGAGTACCCGGCATGCAGAGTGTCACCACACGACTGGCAACACCTCTTCACATGCCCTAAACCACATACATACGACTAACGCCCGTCTCCCTATGGACCAACCCAGTTCGAATGGCACACTTCCTGGGTATCCTGTTAGTGGAGCCTGATGAAAACGATTGGAGAGGGATAGCCGATTTAGGCAGGGGTAAGTATTATTGAGGAACACCAAAAGGCCCCACGAACTAAGGATTTATATGAATTCGCTAACCGACTTCGCCGGAATATATTTTTTTATGTATGTTACCGCATAACTTTGGACCACGCTAACCGATTTCTATAATTCTTTTTCTTTTTTAAGGAAAGGTGCTACCTCACAGGTCGTCCCTTAATAATTTGGTTTAAATCCGAGCATTAGATCATGAAGAACTTAACGATAATCTTAAAATTTTATATGAGAATTGAAGTCGGTTTTGCTTTTTGCTTAAAAATTACTTGTTATATTTAATAAACACTGTACCATTTTGGTGTATCCAATGACTTTGTTTGGGTTGTCCCACCTATAAAATATTCTAATTCCTCTCTAACCGCTGAAACACAATGCCGGCGAACGGCGAATTTTTCGCTGCGAATGTTCGATGTAAAAATTAAAACACACTGTTGTATATGAGAACCCACACAACCAAAGCAAACGACTACGTTCGTCCGACGACTGTTCGCAACGATAGACTTATTTTTATCGTCGTCGCTGGCAGCGGTAAAATACGATCCATTGTGGCTATATGCTAAATATTCTCAAGTTTTTAAATCGAAATTTAAAAATACTGTATTAGTTCTTGTTAAAAATTAATAATCTTATTGTGTGTAAAAATTTTAATTGTACCTTGTCATAAGCAGCTGAATTCGTTGTCGCCGTAGTTGTGTTTTTCTGAGTGAAATTTTTGGGCGAAAGTTGCCGCCGTCGTTTCATTACTGTGCGAAAATTCGCCGTTCGTCGGTATTGTGTTTCAACGGTAATCCATGTACAACCCCTACTAAGTAAGTTTCAAGGATTGCAAAAGTAAATACTAAGATGAGACATGGATTCGACAAGGACACGAATCTCTTAACAGTAGTAAGAGTTTTTATTTTTTGAATTTTGAATTGTGTCGTTATTGCAGAGGACCATCGACATATGCAGTATTATAGTGCAAAAAAATAAAAAATAAATACGAGCGTTAGTGATGATACATGCAAACTATTGATAGGATTAAAGTTAAACGATGAAAAAATCTTTCTTCCAGCGAACTATAAAAAGTAAGTATTTTATTTAATCCTTTGATTCAAATGGCTGCGCTTTTTCAAGAATGCTGCACAGGAAAGTTGCTATTTTTTAACATTGATTTTTTTCTAATTTTTGCGTAAATTGCTTAACTTTTATTACTGTAAAAGTTGCTTTAGCTCAGTTTTTTTTTTGTTTACAACCAAACCACCGTTGGAGACTTTTTAACGCAGACAAATCAAGTGGAAGCATAATATTGGATCGAAAAAGTGTTTGCGAATTTTTAGAGCAAATTCAATTGATTTTTCATACATTCCAAATAAATTCAATTAACCCAATACATATCGCTCATTTAATTGAATAGTGTTATTAGGTCAAAAAATGCAAGTTAATTATGCAGAAATTACCATTACCTCTTTTTCTTTGTTGGGTAAACATTTTTTAGCTATATCGAATACCAGTATCGCATTAGAAAAAACATGTATGCATTAATTTTTACTATGGGAGTATGTATGTATATGTAGATTCAAAACTTATAAGCCATTTATATTGAGTTTTGCTTTTTGAACTATGACACTATTGAAGTAAATGAGCGATATGTTTTGTTTTTTTTATCGAACTTAGAACTGCTGTACAAAAAACTCTATCGAATGATTTTTGCAGGCTTCTGTTGAAGTCTATTTAGTACCATAAAGCGGATATTTCCAGAAGCCGGAATATATGATAATTTGATCGTCGAAGAAAAAGATATTTCTTAGATTCCTCTCTTTAAACAACTTCCGCGAACGTCTTCATCTCATTCTCTTACGAAAATCTTCGTCGAAGAATTCTCTTTTTTAATTTAGAAAAACGGAAAAGCTAGTGGCAACCAGGTTCCAATTATTCGGTGAGTAGTACATTTTTGTGAATACTGTTAATGCCGAACCGTATTAGTTAGTCGCCATCTATCCAAAAATAATTCAGTGCGTACCAGTTTACTCAAAGGACGTCGTCATTTGTATTAAATTCACCAGTTGCTTGCGTTAAAAAGAGAATTATTCCGCACAATTCATGGTTCCTTAATTAACTAAAGTCACTGTAGTTTCCTACTAGTGAGATTCTCATGTGAAAGCAATGCATTTTCAAACATTTACTATAAATCTTTGTACGGCATAGCGTTAATGTACAAATGTAGAGGTGTTTTTTATGTGAAGATAGCTTAATATATACATACATACATACTTCATAGTTATATTTACATATGCATGGATTTATAAGTATATGTTTGTTAATGGAAAGAGCGGAGTGCAAAATAAAGTGATGCCATATATTCTTACACAGCTCTATGGACTTAAATTCTTCAAAGCTGGTTTTGGTTGCTGGCCGTCTGAAAAGTACCCCGCCGACATAAAATATGACATTGGAAAAAAATTCAGAAAAATGCATTCAAATGAACACAAATCCAAAGAGAATGTCCTAGGCTAAAGCAGAAAAGCCGAAAAAAAAAACAGTTTTTCTTCTATTTTCACTGTGAATGACCTGACAAATGCTGTATAGATACGCCAAAAACGCGGGCGCAGTTCGTTACGCGAGGTTGGCTGTATTGCATAGCAACATGAAAATATTTGCACAAATAAATATGTATGTAGTTATGTAGGTATACGTATGTATGTATGTATATACACATTTGTGTTAAAGCATAGCCGCGTAGCCACACAAAAATGATAAAAAGACCTCTACGTAGCGTAGCATATGGGCATGTGAAAATTTTAGATTTCGAATATTTTTAAAAAGATTTTTTATTTAAATAAATATTTTTATTTTACGTACCATAAATATTTAAGCGCGCCGCATGCTGAACCTTTCCCGCACGATTCTCTGCAATGCACGAATATTCGCCACCATCCTCAACCATGACATGGCTAATGTTGACGTGACTAATTACATCGCCATGGACAGTGATGTATTGCCCAATCATAAATCTGTACAGCAGCATATGAAATGAAACACGCAAAATAAGAAATAAGAGTAAGAGATATGTATGTCGTTAGGGAAAAAGCTGAAATATGATTATGATTATGAAAATTGTTGCACAAGTTGCACGAGCGCCATTTCAATCAAAGCTAAGAAATAGATGTGTTATGTAAATATTATAAAGTAAATATTATTAACACTACATAGTAAATTTGAACCAGAAAGTACGCGTTGAAGTATTACATATATCAGTAACATGTCAAGTAATAAAATTATAATTTAAAAAAACTAAAAATACGCTCTTGTTGCAAAAAGAACTATAAAGTATAAAATAATTTATATATATAGCGATTAAGAAGAATAGCAAGTTCCCTAACTTGATTTAGTTTTACTTTTTATAAACCAGGTTGAAATAGAATTAAGGTGATTGGCCCGTAGTCATAGTCAATATAAAGTCGACTGTGACATGATTTTCAGTGGGATATCTGCCAAAAAAGCTGCAATTAACTTTACAGTCGACTTTATTTTGACTCTGACTACGGGCCAATCACTTTAATCCTATTTCAACCTAGTTTATAAAAAGTAAAACTAAATCAAGTTAGGGAACTTCCTATTCTTCTTAATCGCTATATCTATAAGCTATTTTATACTTTTTTGTTCTTGTTGCAACAAAAGAGTGTTTTGTGTTTTTTTTTTAATTATAATTTTTTTCTACTTTTTAGTATTTTGAAATCCTGCAATCAATATTATACTGTCCGTATATTTCTCATTCTATCGAAATCGTTCAATGCATCGTTATGGCATGGCTTCTTTCCGGTCAGTTTCGAGCTAACCAATTCCTCTATCCGAAGTCATTCTAGCGATATAACTCTACTAAGGGCCAAATTCGCAGTGCGTAGTGAACTCAGAATCGGCAGTTAACTACAGATTTTTGTACTGAAAACGCGACAAAGGCTTGAATTTTGGGATAAAGGGCGTGTCGCCGCCCACTTATGACCACAAATGTGTATCTCGGTAACCGATTTATCAATTTCTACCAAACTGGGTGTGTTTAATAACCTTGGTACGAAAAACCTATTCGTTAAAAATTATTCAAATCGGACTAAAATTACACACACATCCCGTATAACGGTAAGTTTAAGAAATATGTACGAAAACTCCGATATTTCAATAACTGACAACAATAAATAACAATAACAATAAATAAGACTGCTTTAGACTTTTAGGAATTGGGCGTGGCACCGCGCACTTTATGACTACAAAGTTGTATCTCGGTAACCACTTTATCGATTTCAGCCCTGATTATCATGCAAAGGTAGTTTAGAGAAAGTTGAAACGACGATATTTGATACCTGCGCCGGGTATATGAAGTTCGGTTTCGCCCGAACTTATACTTCTTTACTTGTTTAACCTTGCTTTTCTTGAAGTAGAATTTAAAAATGTGGTGGTGAGTTTTCTTAGAAAATCTGCCCTGTTAAAAATGACTAAATTGTTATTCAACTTTTGGTAGAAATATGATAGATTTAGATTTATACGGCAGCACTGTGCCAAGCACCCACATACACATATTTTGTGAAAGTGTCTAAGACCATACGAGGGAAACCGGTCTCAGTAACGAAAAGCTAAATAGTTATTTTCATAAAAGCAGCGTTTGTAATAGAAAACGAGATTCTTATATGAAATTAGGTGTCATTCAGAAGAGTCAATAACACACTGATTCCCAGTTAAACTCATCATTCTTCTCTCATCCTACGTCTGATGCTTAGAAGCACAGTTCGATGTTCACGTATTATTATTCCCTTTAGTTGTAAATATTTTTGCTTGATGTAATCGACAAGTAAACTTATTGATGCTGTCAAGTTTTTTTTTTTTATTTCTTCGTAATGTTCCTTTGGTTTTTCTGTAATTACTCTTCATCATTTGTATTTATTGCCATATTTGCTTTTGGTGTTATTTGTGTTGGTTTTTAATTCAAGTTGTGCCAAATGTCTATATGTATTCATATTTGTGAGCATGTACAACGCATACTTTCGATATGCTTTCCTAATTGGCAATTAATTATGTTGGCAAAGGAACGATGCCAATTTTGCTAACAACTCTCTGCTGTATCGAACATTGTCGATAGAGAGAAGTTAAGAAGCCGAGCAGTGTGGGCGTATTTGATGGGGAATGTATGTATGTATGTATTGTATATTTGTTTGTTTGCCGAATTCCTGCGGAAAATCGAGTGCTTTTGAATGGGACTGATTTACAAATTTGCATTGATTTTGACTTACATGAAGAAGGGGTTTTGAAATTAACATTCAATTTAAAAAAATTGGTACTTCCTCCACTCGAATGATTTTTTGTTGTGTATATCTTAACTCGATAATTTCATTAAGATATTAATTAGCAATTTTATAGCCGGCATTGCTGTTGTATAAAAAATTTGTTTAATGAATTGTCGCTTATGCAAAGGTTTTCCTACTGGGTATTACATAATACATAATAAGAAAAAAGTTTGAACGATTGCAAATAATGTTATGTATTTGTGATTTAATTAGCGGAAATTTCATTGCAACAAGTTGTTCAGAAAAATTGCGCAGTTGTTTGCATATTCGCCCGATTGGATGGGAAAAATGAAGGCCGATAGCGAAGTGTTTTTTTTGATGTAGTATTTGTGGAAGTAGAGATGTGTTTAAGTTATGTTGCTAATTGCAACAAAGTGTAAATACAAATCAAGCTTATTGCTTTTTAATTATGAAAACTTTCTACCCAATTCCTGATTTAAAAAAGTGGGTTTGGTTATTTTCTTTAATGTATGTACATATACAATATATGTATATATACATATACATATATATTCCAACTTAAATTCAAATGAATAAAGTCAGCAGCTTTTTTATTTAGTTTTTAGCTTTACTACCAGAGGAAACTATTGGTGTTAGTATTTATTCTAAAGCCAAACAATTTTGTGCTGTATGCCGAAAAATAAACTTCTTTGGTTCGAGTAATGCCCAGTAAGGATAACTTTCAAATCGGTCTTAGGATATTTATCATCTCATTTTTTTTTAGTTTCTTTCTTTTACTATCAATACCCTCTCTATAAGTCTAATTTTACCAATATCATTCTTGTCATTACTATGAATAGAAATTATACTAATTAAATCTGGAGACAAAGTCATAAAAATTTCTCCAATGAAAAGTAAAGCAAAAATTTTTATTTTATTTAAGAAATTTAAAGTCGCACCTCCCAGGAAATATTGAAATCTCTTAATGGTCTAAGTTTACTCTGTCCGGCTGGGGGAGGAGGCTAACGTCATGCACATCAAAAGTTGAGAAAATCATAAAGGAAACTGAAAACCAGCAGTATGTCATATTTGGACAACAAGTTTTGTCAACATATTTTGGCACAACTCTATCTCCTTCTCCCAACCCTTTATCGATTACATCATAGGCCAAAACTGGATAGATAGCCAATTAAGCAACACAACACTGAAGACCTGTTATAATCCAAATCAATCGATAAACCGTTGACATAGTGACAACCAGCCTTGAGACATTGTGACTTGTGTGTCAGATTTCTAATTAAAAGAGAAGATTCGTTTGCACGTGTAGTGCAAGCCGGTGAACGAGTATTTCCGAAAGCCAGATTTTACAACATCATGCATTAGTGCCTACAATCCCCGAGAAGGGCAAAATGAAGCTATCTTTTGCCACTACAAGGACAAGGTGAGCAAAGAAGCAGTCTTCTTTCGCATAAAGCTCCAGCCTCTACGTTTCCAACTTTCCTAATAGACTGAGTGTTATGAACACGTCTAAAGCAGCGCCAGGCAGGTAGTATTGCGAGGCTATGTGCGCTAAGGGAGATATGTGTGCGAGTAATACTAGCATGTCTTTGAGTAGGGTTGGTAACTATTCACTAAGGTTGTCATTTTTATAATTTCTAGTATTTAAAGAAATAAGACTACGAATTTAACTGAAAAATTTTAGGTGGTGGCTTTTATGTCAAAGTGTTTTAAAGAAATTAGTTTATCTTTGCTAACATTGATAAATGGATTTTAAAAATTCTTTTGAAATGTAACCTGTTATTAGCCTGCAAATTGCCACACTTGGAATAGCACACCCCAGTTTTTTATTTATTTATTTTTATACCTTTCATGAGCATGAAATGGTATTATAACTTTGGTCCGATGTTTGTAAGTACCAGAACAAAAAGAGATAGACCCATTAAAATGTATACTTTTATGATCAGAACGTCGAGCTGAGTTGATTTATCCATGTCCGTCTGTCCGTCTGTCCGTCTGTCCGTCTGTCCGTCTGTCTGTCTGTTTGTATGCAATCTAGTCTCTCAGTTTTCGAGATATCCGGATCAAATTTGGTAGGTGGGTGTATTTTTATAATGTATTAATCATTTGTCGGAACCGGAAGAATCGGACCACTATAACATATAGCTCCCATACAACTGATTGTTCAGATATGAGATTTTTCGTTATAACTTCTCCATTTATGCAGCTACGAACATGAAATTGCCCTTGACGACTGCAGCCCTTGCACCCATTATCAACAGAATACTTACAGTGAAAATTACAAAGATCGGGTCACTATAACCTATAGCTCCCATACAACTGATTGTTCAGATATAAAATTTTTCGTTATAACTCTTCCATTTATATAGTTGCGAACAGGAAATTCCGCACAGTTTTCAATAATTATCAACAGAAAACTTACAGTGAAAATTAAAAAGATCGGGTAACTATAACCTATAGCTCCCATACAACTGATTGTTCAGATATGAGATTTTTCGTTATAATTCATCCATTTATGTAGCTAGGACCATGAATATTCGCGCTGTTTTCACTCATTATCAGCAGAAGACTTACAGTGAAAATAACGAAGATCGGGTCACTATAACCTGCAGCCCCCATACAACTGATTGTTCAGATATGAGGTCTTTTATCATATCTCCTCCATTTCTGCAGCTAGGAACATGAAATTTCGCACCATTTTTACTCATTATTAACAGAAT